GTGTGAGGTTGGGGGAGTTGCTTAATCCCTCTGGGCCTCAGTTGCCCAGATAATGGATGCTAATAACACCTATTCCCATGGGATTGTTAGATTCAGTGAGAGAATAAGTACTAGGCACTTAGAATAGTGCCCCACAGGTGGTCAGTGCTCAGTGAACATTGGGTCCTATCGCTACTCACTCTTCTCAGGGGGTGAGGCAGCCCTCGGTGTGGACAGCGTCCCCCAGCCGGGTCCTCAGCCCTGGAGATTCAGAGGTGGTCAGTGCACCCAGGGTTCTCTGTTCTACCAAAGTCTGTGCAGGAAGTCGAGTTAGCAATCCACGGTTGCTTCATAAGCATGGGATTAGAGCTGAGCAGAGTGCAGACTGGCAATGGGAGGCTCTTGGGGCCGAGTGTGGTGGGGCCCCGGGGCTCCCATTTCCGTCACAGGGACTGGCCCCGAAGCTCCCTGTTCTCTGCATGGTGGAAGGGAGGGCTGATCTGGCATGGCGACAACATCTGCTGACTCCAGCATCCACCAGGGTCGAGCTGGCTGACCTGACGGGCTGGAGCAGCCCCCACCCTGGCGCCTCTTGGGCGGCCTTTAGGATTCGCTCTCCGTTAAAGAAAGTCTTCCCAGAACAAGGAGGCCTCCTCCTCATTCAGGATTATGTAGTGGCTCCCCACCCTTGTCAGAACTGTTTTGAAAGCACTAGGAGATACTCTGGAAGAACTCCTTCCCGTCCCTGTTTACTTTGGTTCGTGAATAGACTTCCTTCCTGCGGCTCAGAGTATAATCAACCAGGCGCCCCCCCCCCCGCTTTGGACAAGGCTGGTCAAGTGGGGGAGGGCACCTGGATGACACTGATCTGCATTTGGGTGCTACCTAGGGATCAGTTCTCTGGGGCAGCGCTTCTGGAACAAATGACCAAGCTCACCCATTATATGATGGTTTTTTTTTCTCATTTATTTCTCTTTTAGGTTAGGAGTACTTTGTAATTCTCCTCAAATCTGACTTCATGATTTCCTCTTTGCTTTTTAGTACTTAAATCATTTCTGGTAACAACAATAGCTGCTATTTGTTAAATTTTATTTATTTTTTTTCAGTCATCTCTACAACCAACATGGGGCTTGAACTCATGACCCTGAGATCAAGAGTTGCAGGCTCTTCCGACCGAGCCAGCCAGGCGCCCCTAGCTGCTATTTATTAATTAGCCAGTGTACTGATTGGTTGATTTCCTTACCTGATCTTTAATCCATACAACAACCTGATTCCAATTTCATAGATGAGGAAACTGAAATCAGAGGAATCGGGAAGACCAGTAAGTGGCCCAGTATCGGTGTGTGGGTTTGGTTTTGTTTTGGCACTGCCTCAAGATGTTTAGTATTTTTCAGGGCGCCTGGGTGGCTCGGTGGGTTGAGCATCTGACTCTTGGTTTCAGCTCAGGTCATGATCTCAGGGGTCGTGGGATCGAGCAGCGAGCACTGAGGGGAGTCTGCCTGAGATTCTCTCTCCCCCTCTCTCTGCCCTCCCCACCGCACGCTCACTCTCTTTAAAATAAATACATAAATCTTAAAAAAATGATTAGTATTTTCCCCCTCAGTTGAAATGAAAGAGAAAATGTTTGCTTACTTTTGTCTTCCAAAATAAGCTCTTGAAACTTCACTCAAGACCCAAGCTGGGAAAACCAAACATTTTGAAATGCGTGAACCCAGATCTTGAAAGGACAAGAAGTTTATGTTTTGTTTTGTTTGTTCATTTGGCATATCAGCAATTAAAACCCTTTGTATGAACGGCTCACAGTGTAACCACATATAAAAACTTAGGAAGGGATGAGGAGCCAGACAGACCATGTGGCTTGAGGAAAGAGCTCAGTGCCGGGGTTGGGGGGTGAGGGGTTGAGGGGGGCTTGCATTGGAAGGTGGCCCAGCTGAAGACTAGCCACTGCTTATGCCCCAGGGGATGGCTTGGTGCAGCTCCTTCGTCCGGCCTTGTTTGGCAAACCATTCTTCCCTGACCTAAATAAATATGCCCCGTTGCCATAAAAACACCCATAGGGTGGAGCCTGGATATCCAGACATGGTCCTGGGAAGGAAAAGCCCCTCAGCACCAGTACTTGGGTGGGAGGCAAGAGATCTAGTTCAGTGCTCCAATGCAGTAATGTCCCATGGCTAGTATCCCAGGACCCCGACTGGCCCTCACCAGCTGGCTGACTGGAACTCTGGCCTCTGAGCGGTCAAGTAGTGTCACCAGCTGGGAACCATGGAAATCAACTGCTGCAGCGGATCGGGGAGGGTGTGGAAGGAGGCAATGTCCGGGTGAGAGATGGTGAGTGTCTGAGCAGGGCAGTGGTCAAGGATAGATAGGAGGTGTATTATGGGGTAGGATCAATAGGACATGATTGATATGGGCCCTGGGCCCAAGTCCAAATGCCTTCACTTAGCTTGGCCGCTCCAGCCTCAAGCACTGCCACTCCCGTGGCCGGTCTCCGCTCTCGCTGGTTCCTGAATGTTCTCCCTGTGTCAAGGCTCCATGCCTCTGAATGTGCCGGGCTGCCTTCTGCTGGGGTTTTGTTGTCTGTCTCCTCAACTCAAGAATGAGATCCTTGAGGGAAGGTGCTGAATCTCTTCTCTCCAAACCTCACCCCGGGCACAAAGCCTAGTTGCACCACGTCTATTTGTTGACGAAAATCAATCAATAAAAAAAACGACGCAGGGTGAAGGGGAAGGAAGGAAGCGAAGAGCAAAGGAATGAAGACATCGGGCGCCCTGTCAGACCTTGTTATAATCACTCCTCTCTCTGATGTTACACATTAATCCTCATCGGAGTGGAGCGAGGCAGGAGAGGGATGAGGGTAGCATCTGCCTCTGCTGGCTGCTGGAACTCGAACCAAATCAAACGGGAACGGTTCAGAGAACATTCTAATAGTCTGTCCCAACAGTTTCAGTAAGTCTGCCGCATGGCTAGAGAGACGCAGTGCCTCCTGCAGACCTTGAGGTGGGTTTTGGGGGTGGGGGTGGGGACGCTGAGAACCACGACAGAGAGAACAAGATACAGGTGGACAAAGGCCCTGGCAACTTGTGCCAAGTCCCGAGCTCCAGTCCTGGATGTACAGACAGCCCGTGAGCTGGGCCTTTCCGACTGCTCTTGCTGATTTACATTCTAAAATCTCTCTCTCTCTTTGCCTTGACTTTTTCTGTTCCTCCCTTGCTACTTCCACACTGACTGATCCCCCAGGTCCTTGGGAGACCAAAATGTAAGCCAGAACAGGAGAGAGGGCTTGAATTAATTTCAGTGTCTTTGTGTCTTGCAGTAAGATGGAAAAATCTTACATCTTAAGGCCTGATTTGTCCCAGCCTACTCTATTTTTTTTTTAAGATTTTATTTATTTATTTGAGAGAGAGAATGAGACAGAGAGAGAGAGCACGAGATGGGGGAGGGTCAGAGGGAGAAGCAGGCTCCCCGGGACTCCAGGATCATGACCTGAGCCGAAGGCAGTCGCTTAACCAACTGAGCCACCCAGGCGCCCGCTACTCTATTTTCTTATGGTTTGTTCCCATCAATTCATTTTTTAAAGACAAGATTCGTTTTCTCTAATGTCCGAGTACGAGATGTTAAGACTGGGAGGGTTCAGAGCACAGGTTTGGGAGTCGGGCAGACACTGGCGACTTTGTGGAGTGACCTTGGTCAAATTCCTTTGAAGTCCCCGCTCAAAGCTGCTTCTCTGGCTGTTTTCATATCCGGAAACGGGGGGAATCCAGTACCGTCCGCAGTCAGGGGACTACCTACCATACCTGCAAGGACTTCATAAACTCACCTCGTATTTCTTGACAAATATTGTAATTAAAGTACTGCAGTCCTCATCTTGCAGGTGGGGCAGCCAAAGAGCATGCCTGGGGCTTTGTGAGCAGTGAGTACCTGGGTCCAGGCCCAGAGTGCCCCTTCCCCACGCAGTCAGTCCCTTTGGTGGTCACACTCTCTTTATCCTTGGTGCTTTGGTAGAGATCTGGAAAATACTCTCTGGTTCTGGCCACTCGTGGTTCTAACCTCTTATTTCTTTCTCATCCAAAAGAAGTGCGTGCTTGGAATAGCTTGAGTCCCTGGCCCCAGGGGGAATCCAGAAGGCTGGGCATGGAGGTCTGCAGACTCCATGGAATAGGCAAGAAGCTCTCCCCCAAATTCAGCTTTTAATGGGGGCAATGGCCGCATAGGCCAAGGAAGCTGTCAGCTCACTTGCTCTGGGCTGGAATGATAGCAACACAGCTGGCTCAGCTGCCTTTCTCACGTTGATCACAAGCTCCAATGGGCAATTTATATATGTCTTTGATTAATAAAAAATGGCGCAACGAATGAATACTTAATTAACGCAGTCTAGTGGGTAAAATCTTTCAGAACCTGGGCTGGGGGTGAGGCAGGGAGTAATCATAGGGATCCTTGGGAGTGAAAAGGCAAGGGCACCCCACCAGGGCGGGGGTGGGGCTGGGTTCTGGAAAGCTGTTCAGTCCTGGTACTCGGCTCTCTGATTCTGTGCGAGGGATTTGCTGGCAGCCCTGGGAGCCTGAGATCAGGACCGAGGTTTGAGCTGGTGGGCAAATGGGCAAACATGTATTCTGTGGCCACGCAAGCGGGCAAGGTAAAGCACCTGGAATAGGGTGCGTGTGTGCGTCCGCAGGTAGCCATCTGTGTCCTCCATGTGTGCTGGGTGTTTGTGCTCTTTTCCGTGGGTCTGCCCGTGCGAGCCACAGTTTCGAAACGAATTTGGTTAGGAGAAGGAGGAGAAGCGAAGCGGCCAGGAGGCTGAACGAGGATCAAGAAAGATGCAGAGATGCCAACAGGCGCGGCTGGGGCCGGAGGGAGGTAACGGAGCGAAGATCCCAGGCCTGGGCGGACAAGCGCTCGAGAAATGGTGAGCGGGGCAGAAAGGAAGTGCTAGAGAACCGGGGCGGTGGACCGCCCCCGACGCCGCCCCGCCAGTCAGGGCCCTTCCGGACGGGGCGGGGGGTGAGGGCGGGGCTGGGAGGGGCGGTGAGAAGCGCGAATCCAAAAGGCGCGGGGCGTGGGTGGCGCGGGAGTGCCAGCGAGGAAGCCGGCCGGGTAGGGCTCCGGGGCCGCGAGGCGCGGGGCGGGAGGCCAGTGACCCCCGCGGAGCATGGGCCCGGGGCGGGGGCGGGGG